TTTCACTTCAAAACAGCTTCCTGTCCATGGGATAAGCTGTAGCTTTCTCGGTGGCCCAGTCTTTTGGTGTAGCTTAGGGAATCATTCCTCAAAGATCCGCCTAGAGTCTATACCTTCTACCCTTCTAAGAATTCTGTAAATGATCAATAACCTATGGTTATTCACCTTTCGGTTTTAATGAGCTCGGGGATATTGTGTTCTTTGTAACTGTATCTTGAACTGTACCCAGCAAAGTTATACTTGCATACACCATACAGCCCTGTAATTACATTCCTAGATGTATGCCCTAGAGAAACCTTTATATATGTGGACCACAAATATGGATGGGAACATTTACTGCAGAATTGCTTGAAATAATGAAAACCTGGAAGCAATCTGATGTCTATCAAGAGTAGAATGAATAAATAAGTTGCAGTATAGTCATACAAGAGAATACTACACGGATATGAAAATGAGTGACCTATAGCTTTGCTTATTGACATATGTATACAGTATGATTTCATTTATACAAGATTAAAGCTAAATAATGTATTGCTTGGAGATACATAGGTACATGATAGAACTGTAAAGAAAATACAGGAAGTGGTCAACAGAGAATTCAAGATAATCACTGCCTCTGGTGGAAAGAGGCAGGTGTGTTATTGGGGAGGAAAACACAGGAGGCTTCAGTGGTATTTGGAAGCATGTTGTTCTGAAGCTGAGAACAGGATGAAGTGCACAGTATTGCCCATAAAGTGTTCTTGACAAGCATGTTTAATTTTTATTAATTTTTAATTTTATTTTAAAGAGAGAGAGTGCACCAGCTGGGGAGAGGGGCAGAGGGAGAGAGAGAAAGAGAGAGAGACAGAGAGAGAATCTCAAGAAGGCTCCACATTCAGTGTGGAGCTCAATGCAGGGTTCTATCTTACGACCCTGGGGTCATGACCTGAGCCAAAATCAATAGTCAGATGCTCAACTGACAGAGACACTCAGGCACCCCCAACATGTTTAATTTTAATCTAATGAAGCTTTTGTTCTTTATAATTTCCAGATACAAGGAAGACAAAGAACAGAGGAACAAACTAAGCCGTCCTTCAAAGAAACCATCAGACAAAGCCACAATATGGGACATTCTTAAGAGAAGTGGTCCAATCACTTCAACACTTCAATGAACTTGGGAGAAGGAGAAGAGGAAGGAACAATGGTTCTAGAAAAAGAGAGATGTTCTTGGTTGGATCCTGTTTTGAACAAACCAGATATATAAGACATTTTGGGAACAACTGAGGAAATTTAAATATAGACTAGGGAATTATTAGCTTAGTTAGATGTAATGTTGACATTGTGGATATGTGGAAGAATGTCATTTTTAGAGAGGTATGCTGAAATATTTAGAGATGAAGTTTCTGGGTGGATGTAATTTAACTTTTAAATAGTTTTGAGAAAAACTATATATGTGCATGTACATATAAATTATTTACATATAAAACAAATATGACAAAATACTAAAAATTGTTAAATCCAGGTATGGATTACACATGTGCTCATAGTATAGCCTTTTCTACTTTTCTGTATTATTTGAAATATTTTATAATAAAAATATATAAAGGAAGGATAAGAATGAAACAAAATAATGAAAGTGCTAGATAATACAATCAACAGTTCAATTAAACAAATGTTTGGCACATACATAGACACAATATTTTCTATGTGACAACAAAATTTGTCCTGGAAAGAGGGTTCTCAGTAGAGGTACATGTACTAAATTCAGAAAGATAGAAAAAAGGCCAAGTTATCAATAGTTAGAAAATAATATCAACTCCTGAACAGACCTATTTTCACTTTCCTCTCACAGAAACATCTCCCTCTGGAACCATTGTTTCAAGCCTTTGTAGGTGGTTTTGGGACCACCAACCAGATTCTGAGTCTCCTGGAAATTGCTTCTTTTGCCAGTAAGCATACATCAAAAGAGATGGTACTTTGAAGGTACCTACTGAAAGGCTGAGAAGTAAATTTCCCGCAGGAGATTAGCCATAAAGGGTTCTGAACCAATTACAAGTAAGGGTGAAAGGTTGAAAGAGCTCTTTTTCAAGGTAAAAAAATTTCCCCCCAAAAGGTGAATCTCTCCTTTAAAGGACCTCAACTCTCAGAATCACCCACAATACTCAGTGTTGCTGGGTTTCATCAGTCTTTGTTGGGTAACTGGATTCTTTCAAAACTATTTTCCTTAGGAGCGCCTGGGTGGCTCAGTCGGTTAAGCGTCAGACTTCAGCTCAGGTTATGATCTCCCGGTTGGGGAGTTCAAACCCTGCATTGGGCTCTGTGCTGACAGCTCAGAGCCTGGAGCCTGCTTCAGTTTCCGTGTCTCTCTCTCTCTCTCTGCCCCTCCCATGCTTATGCTGTCTCTGTCTGTCTCAAAAATAAATAAACATTAAAATATATATATATTTTTTCCTTATAAAGCAGAAGGAAGATTACAGACGGGAGGCTTTCAGATAAAAGTTATCTCTGTGGAGCCCCTGGAGGGAAAAAGGGGTCCCCCACTTCCCATCAGTTCTCAGGCCAGCAAAACCAATTCTCCCCAGGATATATATACACCTACAAAAATTGCAAGGTAACCCTGAATTCCAAAACCCAGGCCTCTACTCACCCCTTATTCTTCTCAGTAACTGCAGTTAACAGTATTCGCTCCATTGGCCACCTACTCTCTTCTTCTTGAAGCTCTTCGCTCCCTGGACAATGAGACAGAACTGGAGTATCTGCTCTCTCACTGGCCACATCTTCCACCTCCTTTACTCACCCTGCTTCCTTCCTCTGGAGACCTAATGTAGGCGTCTCACAAAGACTCACTCTCCTCTTCCTTAGAAGGCTTACCCCCTTTTATGGTTTATACACAGTGGAATATGACTCATCCCTACAAAAATAATGAAATCTTGCCATTTGCAACAAACATAGACGGCTCTAGAGGATATAATGCTAAGTGAAATAAGTTAGAGAAACGCGAATACCGTTATTATTTCACTCACAGGTAGAATTTAAGAAACAAAACAAACAAGCAAAAGGAAAAAAGGAGAGAGAGAGAGGGAAGCCAAGAAAGAGACTCTTAACTCTATCAAACTGATGCTTACCAGAGGGGAGGTGGACAGGGGGATGGGGGAAATAGGTGAAGGGGATTAAGGGGACACTTGTCATGAGGAGCACTGAGTAATGTACAGTATTGTTGAATCATTATAGTGTACACCTGAAACTAACATAACACCATATGTTAATTATACTTCAATTTAAAAAAAAAGAAAATTTTATTTACTAATTTATTAACTAGTGGTTTCCCCAACTTCTTCAGGGCCACAGACAGGTAGTGATGAAGAGTTCACGGGTCTACAGCCAAGTACCAAAGAGACAACAATATTGTATCAATTTAAAAGACTGCCTTTAAAAATGGTAATTTTTTATTGCTTTTCGTTGGTTTCAAGATGCCCTTTCTTTTCTTTTACAATATAACACTTAAACAGGTTTTGTTTTTAATTTCACTACTTGGAAAGTGTAAACATGTCAGGACTATTATAATCTCCCTTTTATCAAGTAAATTAATTTTTATATGGATAATAATTCAGGTTGTTAAACAATTAAAAAAGAAAGAAAGGAAATGTGAATGGTCTCCCTGGCACCCCATCTATATGTTACCGATTTCTTAGTATTTTTTTAGTTTCTTTATGCATAGAAATATATATTACTTTTACCCCTCTCCCAACTTCTTGAGACAAAAAGAAATTATTTTATGGCTCTTTTCAGATCAATATATTATCCTGGATTTTTTTTCTATTAGCACATAGAAGTATTTTTTGTTGTTTTTTAAAATAGGAGCATAGAGAGGCACCTGGGTGGCTCCATCAGTTAAGTGTCCAACTCTTGATTTCGGCTCAGGTCATGGTCTAATGGTTTTGTGAGTTCAAGCCCTGCATGGACTCTACACTGCCTGCTTGAGACTCTCTCTCTCTCTCTCTCTCTGCCCTCCTCCACTTGCACTCTTTCTCTCTCTCTCTTAAAATAAATAAATAAATAAAACTTAAGATATAAAAAATTTTAAGAAACTTTATAAATAGGAGCATAGAATTCTAGTCAGAATAAACTATTATTTTTAATCAATCTTCCAAAAATAAAAATAAAAAGCTCAACCCCCTTCACAGCTTTATTTCTTACATAAAGATGACTCTCAAATTCAAATTGGTCTAGCTCTAATTTCATTCTCATTTTTTAATATTTTTAACATGTATTCATTTTTTAGAGAAAGAGACAAACCATGAGTGGGGGAGGAGCAGAGAGAGAGGAAGACACAAACTCAGAAGCAGGCTTCAGGTTCTAAGCTATAAGCACAGAGCCTGACGCCAGTCTCAAACTCATGGACCACGAGATCATGACCCAAATTTTCAACTACCAGCTGGAAATCTGTACCTAGTTGGTTCACAGGTGTTTTAAATTCCATCTTCTCAAAACTGAAAGATGATCCCCTGCAAATATGTTCTTCTGCATTTCTAACTCTTCTGTTCCTTCATGAGATAAATATATTGGAAATTATGATATCCACATAGAGCACTATCATAGTATTATTGCTGAGTATTACCACCCCCTAAACTCAGCTTAAAATCTCCATCTTCCTTCACTGTTCCCAGTGCCCATTTTACTGGTTCTGAACTCAGGAGACTATTCATAATCACAAGTTCCAGTGCCCCATCTACAGGTTGGGAAAGCACTGCTCTGGATATAATATTTTCTCAATTAAATCAGACCAAGGGAGTGCAGCAGCACATGGGACAGTCCCTATAAAACTGCTTTTACAGGGCCGTGTTTGGTGTGATGATCTCAGCTTCTCAAAGGATGCTACAGGAGACAGTATATCCAGCATAGTCAAAACTGCTCTTGTGCTCACTACAGAGGTGTGGTAAAGATGCTCATATTACATCACAGAGGGGCCTTTATGAGGCAGAGTCCCTGCCCAATGAGGAAACAACCACAGGAGAGGCAGACTAGAGGCCCAGCGGAGGGAAACATATGTTGGCTTCAGTGACCCACTTGTTCCTTGAGGAGAACACCCATTTCTACCTAAGAACAGCCCCAGAGGCCTATGGACTTTAAACATTGTTCTGAACAGACTCATCTCAGAGGACAAAGCAGGTAGGGAAGGAAAGGAAGCCATGGGAGGGGAGAGGAAATCACTCCTTGAATTCTAAACCAAAGCATTCAGATTTTCACTTCAGGCCAAAGGGAAATTCCCTACAAGGTTCTGTGGAGGAAGCAGAATGGTGAGAACAATGTTTAAAGGAGACCCCATGTTCAGGATGGAGACCAGAATTGGGATATAAAATGTAGGCACCAAATGCCAGGTATTTTATATGAATCTGGATTGGAATTTTTAAAAGAGACAAAGAGAAATGAAAGAGACATTTCAAAAGAAAATTCTGTACTTTATGACAACTAGCCATAGATTTAAACATAAAAGAAAGGTAGACGTGCAAGATTATGTCCAGATTTTAGATCAAATGATTAAAATGATTGTATCATTAACAGATATTGACCACATCTTAGACCATTTGGGTTACTATAACAGAACACCAGAGACTGGGTAGGCTACACAGGAAACACATCTCATAGTTCTGAAGGCTGGGAAGTCTAAGATCAAGGCACAAGCAGATTCAGTCTCTGGAGAGAGCTCACTTTCTGGATCATAGACAGCTATCTTCTTACTGTGCTCTCACATAGCAGAAGGGGTGAGGAACCTCTCTGGGGTCTCCTTTAGAAGGACACCAATCCCTTTCATGAGGGCACCTCCCTAATGACCTAATCACATCCCAAAGGCCTCACCTCCTAATACCATTGGGGCCTAGATTTCAAAATATGACTTTTGGGGAAACAAATATTCCATCCACAGCAAGCCAGATAGAGATAGATGGAGAAAAGATGAGGCATCTTCTTTTAGACCTGTGGAGTTGAATTGACAAGAGAACACCATGGGCACCCCCTTACAGGTAGTCCATACTAACTCCATTAATTCACAGCATCATTTCTATTTTCTCACCAAGAACTATCTGCTTCTTAAGTCTTTGGTTTGTTTCTATCTCTAGTATATCACATAACTCAAGCTATCATCACCTCTCACCTGAACTCCTCCCAAAACTACTCTGGCCCTTCTCTAATCTTGTCTTTATACATCAGTCATGTGATCTTTTCAAAATAAAAATCTGATTGATTTTACCTCCCCATTTTAAAAAATTTTCAATGTCATCCTAATGATCTCAGGACCTTTGCCCTAAAAATGTATGCCAGCTAGATACCTTAGCTATCTCTCCAGCCTCATTTTATGAAGCGCTAGTTACATTTTAAGTAGTTCCATGCTCTGCCTTTTGTTCATAAGGCTGAATCCTCTCCACCCACCCTGCAATCTCCAACTCCTAACCCTGCCAGGGCTAGCTTCCATTCTTCCTCCCAATATGATATCAGGAATTTCTTCTTTGGGACCTTCTCTGATCACCTTGCCTAGTTTAATTTCCCCAATCATGGGGCAATGTACCTAAAGTCAAGACAGAACAGGGATATGCAGACCTACTGAGAGCAAAACAAGGTATAAAGGATATTCTGTTCCTTGTTTTAAGGTCTGATGACAGTTATCTTCTTGTAATAACATAATAGGTGGCCAGCATAAGTCCTCTGTGTTGGTGTGTATTTGTCCCACGAAGTTGACTGTCCAGGAAACATGAGCAAGAACTCTGTGAAGCCCATTCTCATAGCCATTGTTACAGCTACTAATCATGCTAGAGGAATGATATCATGGTTTCCTGTTTATTCTACTCTGCCTGGTAGTTCCTAGTGTTATTAAAAAAAAAAAATGAAGAAGAAGAATCAGCACCTGAGTCTAGGGATTTGTATTAATAATGAGATCTAGACTAGGAAGTGGCTATGGATCCCAGGCTAGAAGATCCTAAAAGAAAGATAAAAGTCATGAACTATCCTACCAGCCACCACCCCAGTGGAATACCTGTGGTTGAGAGCTCTGTACCCCATAGTCAACTGAAAACTCCTAACCTTTCCTAAAATGCCACTACCAGTATAACCACTGAGTCAGCTAGAAGACAAGGAAGAAAGAGACCACAGAAAGCCTCCAATTGTTCCTTAAGAGATGAGTCAGAGAAGTGAGGATGCACTTATCTCTGTATGAAATACAAGGGCTCACTCAAAGTAGGCCTGAATCAATGTTTGCTTATTGATGAATAAACAAACATTAACTAAAACCAAGCTTGTCACCAACCCCTCTGAATCAAATCTTCCACCTGCTATCCACACTCTGCCTTTCCATATTTTCCCAGACTTCTTGGCCCAGTGAGGGCCCCTGGAGACTCACCCTCCCAATGGATAGTCCTAACAAGCCACTGCCTAGAGCAAAGCCTGACATGGCTTCCACTGTCTACATCAACAATTTGAAACTTTAGCTGTACATCAGAACCACCCTGAAAAGGATGCTTTTCAAACATGCAGAGACTATGGTCCCATCCTTGAAGATTCTGATGGGTAAAATAGAAAATGAACTATTACCTCTTACATCCTTATTATGTGCGAAGCATTAATATGTACACTATATCCTTTTCACATTCTCCTAGAGATGTAGTCCTATCATGGTTGAGAGAGTAAGGCCCTGAGACACAAGTAATTGGTCTAAGATCTTATAGTTGGCAAATGGTGAAACTATAATTCGATGACAAAAAAAATCTGTTGAACTTTCTATTGCACCATATGAGCTCTGGCCATCCAAATCCCTTATCTGGGCATTTAAGACCTTAAAAAATCTGACTTCTAAACTGGGTAAATTTTATTGCATATATACTTTAATTAAAAAGTTAATATTATCCTCACAACATTTGTTATTTTGCTTTATGACAGTAATCCTAATAGGTATAAAGTGGTAACTCATTTGTTTCAATCTTGCCTGTTCATCCGTGTATTTATTTTTTCTTATCTTTTTTATTTTTTGTCATCAGCATATTTATTTAAAGCTACAACTATGCCTTTAAGAATTGCTTTAGCTGTGTTACACAAATCCTATCATGTAGTGTTTTACTTCTAAATACTTATTTTTTAAACCAAGTGTCATTTAATATATGTTACCTAGTTTCTGGACATGTGGGATTTTATTTTAGCTATCTTTTTAAAAATATTCATTCCACAGTTGCATTGTAATTAGAGGACATTTTCTGAATGGGACTGATTCTTTGGAATTTATAGAATTCTACTATAAATATGCTACATATATTTTAAAAAAACATTCTTTACTCTGTTTATTTTGGGTATACATATATTGTATTTTCTGCTTGTGCATATCATGATCTTTTTAATGTCTATTTGATCTACAGTTCTTAGAGATGCATATTAAAACATTTCCTATTTATTTTTTATTTTTTTTTAATGTTTTATTTATTTCTATGAGAGAGAGAGAGACAGTGTGAGCAGGGGAGGGTCAGAGAGAGAGGGAGTCACAGCACAGAGCCCGATGCGAGGCTCGAACCCACGAACCGGGAGATCATGACCTAAGCAAAAGTCGGACGCTTAACCGACTAAGGCACCCAGGCGTCCTGCATGTTAAAACATCTGCAACCACAGTTGTTAATTTACGTATATTTTTTCTCTTTTTTTGATACATTTCATAAGATTGTAATGTTAGGTGTATGTACTGTACTGTTAGGTGTATGTAGGCTTGTAACAATTGATTACATCTACTGTTGTTTATTTTTTTAATTTTTTAACATTTTTATTTATTTCTGAAAGAGAGAGAGAAAGAGAGACAGCGTGAGCAGGGGAGGGTCAGAGAGAGAGGGAGATACAGAATCTGAAACAGGCTCCAGGCTCTGAGCTAGCTGTCAGCACAGAGCCTGTCACGGGGCTCTAACCCACCACCCGTGTGATCATGACTTGAGCCAAAGTCAGACGCTTAAGCGACTGAGCCACCCAGGCGCCCCTACTGTTCTTTAATTAAGCATTTAAAGCTATAAAATAATACACAAGCAGAAAGCTGATAAGCATTTATGTACATTTAAAGAAATACTTTTACAATGAATACTCCTATGACTGTGACTAAGTTTGAAAATAAAACATTGCCAACATTCAAAAATCAAAAGGCAACCCACAAAAAAATCTAACCTTCTCCATCACTAATCTATATTTCTCACAAAGCTTTCTGTACACCACATACTCCTTAGGGATCAGGCTATTGGTGGCCATGCATTCATTCTGCCCTTCATTACACCCAGCCATCTCCACACCTTTCCCTCCACTGTTACTCCCACTGGACAACCCCTTCCTCCAACCCCACCTGCTGATACTTCAAGCTGCCACTCAAGGGTACCTCTGTGGAGAACTTTCTTCACTGTGTCTGCCATAAGGACTAAAGCCCTCTCCTCTCCGTATATCTCCACACCATAAGGAAAAAATATACACTTAATCAAGTGTCTGCATTCTCCGTGTATTATAGTTCTTTTCTTTGTCATCTACTAAACGTAGGCTCCTTGAAGTAAGGACCAGGGTCTCGCCATCTGAATTCCCCATAGCCTCTGATTCAGTATAAGGCATATGCTAAGTGCTCAATAAATATTTTAAAGAAATGAATGGAATCTCTCTTTAATTCCCTGTGGTTCATTAGCAAGGTACCTGGCAGTTTCTCCTTTAAAATGTTTCTTTATCTTCATTTCTTCTCCATTTCAATTGCTACTATTTTATTTCAGGCCCTTATCACTTCATACCCAAATAGCTACAGAAAAATAAATAAAGAGGGAGAGAGAAAAAGCAGGGAGAAAAAGAAGAAGAGAGGGAGGGAGGAAAAGGAAAAGAATGGACTATCCTTTGACTTTCTCCCCAGACCAAATAAATCAGAATTTCTGGAGAAGTGACTGAAGTATCCATAGTTCAATGTGCCACCAAGGTTGAGAAGAGAACCACTTCCTGTTTGTTCCCTTTTCATTTCATCAAATTTACCTCTAACCCTTGATACCAGAAACAATTCTTTTAAAAACAGAAGACTTGGGGCACCTGGATGGCTCAGTAGGTTAAGTGTCCCAATCTTGATTTCAGCCCAGGTCATAATCTCATGGTTCATGGGATGGAGCCCTAGATCAGGCTCTGTGCTTACAGTGCAAAACCTGCTTGGGATTCTCTCTCCCCCTTTCTCTCTGTCCCTACCTCCCACACATATGCCTGTAGTCTCTCTCTCAAAAAAAATTTCTTAAAAAGAAGGACGATATCTAATGGCTTTCAAGGCTTACATAATGGACTCCATCTGCATACTATATTCAGCTCCTTATCCCTACAGGCGCCTCTGCTCCACTCCGCAGGCTCCCCTTCCTTTCTCCTCTCCTCTCCTTACATTCTAATCACCTTCAAGGCCCTTCTCATGTCTTACCTCCTCCAAGAAGCATCCCAGACCTCTGCTCCTGCCCCTTTTCTAAATACCTGTGGTTGACATGAGCCTTGCGATTCCACACACAATCTCACATAATGAATTTATCACCACTGTGAGTCCATGTATTGGTCTCCCCAACAAGATCACAAACTTCCCAGGAGCAAGAACCACAGTTGAAGTTCCTCTGGCCTCCTCCCTCCACCCCAGCCTCTAGTGTGGAGAATAGATGGTGTGCTAATTGAACACTTTCTCCAGAAGGGGCCATTTAACCCAACCCTCTCCTATTGCACACAAGGAAATGACAAAGCAGGAAGGTAAAGTGATTTACTGGAGGTCCCACACCTAGTGAATGTCAGAGCTCAGATAAAAATTACTCAAGTCTACTGAGCCCCGTAGCTGTTATTGTTGCTTAATCACGACTGTTTCCTTTTTCTCTCCTGTGTTCCCTCCTGCCCTGTGTCCTATCACACTGTAATATTCTCAGTTTCTCCTCATGGAGAGCAAAAAGCCTTCTTACTTCTCTGACTTTGCCTTATGAGCTACATCTTTCTCAGGAGTAGATCATTTACAAGCTGTATTTGTTGGCAAGCCCAGAGAACAGCTCAGCACCACAGTGCTCTGGGTAATTCAGACCCTGGGGCCATTTTCTGAAAATTTTCCTTAATGATCATTTGTTCTATGTATGTGAGTTTGTCTTCTGGATGGATGGAGGAGGTATGTATCTGAGCTGACTGATAAGGGGCTTCAGCAGAGGCTATAGGAGGGCAGGCTATCACTGCAGTAGAAAATTTAAAAATAGCAGTTAAGGGGCTCCTGGGTGGTTCAGTTGGCTGAGCGTTCAACTTCAGCTCAGGTCATGATCTCATGGTTTGTGAGTTCAAGCTCCTCATTGGGGTCTCTGCTGTCAGCACAGAGCCTGCTTTGGATCCTCTGTCCCCCTCTCTTTTTGTCTCTCCCCCACTCTTCCTCTCTCTCTCCTTCCCCCTCTCTTTCTCTCTCTCTCTCAAAAAGTAAAGAAAATAAAAGAGAAAAGAAAACAGTTAAGCAGAAATAGACCCTGCTGCCATCAAACTGAAGATTTCAGGCTAGGAGCATGTGGCAGGAAGAGAACCAGAATTCTGCACTCAATAATAACTCTGTTATCCCAAGTCATTGGCAGACGTTGAAGTAATTTCCATTCCCAGGGAGGGGCAGGAGGGTGGCAGAGATGCCAGAAATTCATCTGAATTTCTTCCTGGGCAAGGCAGTTGGCAGTCTCAAGTGAAGGTAGAAATAGAGTAAGAAGGGAAGTGAAGAAGACAGAAGGGGTTGAATCCACACAGGTAGCTGCCATCTGCATTCTCAGAAGATGATAGCTTTGATTAGAGACCCAGGACAGTCGTGGGTGAGTAGGGCCACCCTCCCGGCCACAGCTGAAGGCATTCATGACCAGGACATCTGCTGAAAGTGCCCTGTGTCCTGTCACACTGGGATCCCCCAAGCCAGGGGGAAAAGAGGCTTTACTTCCTTTATTTATATACTCTTTCATGATGAAGACTGGGACAACTCTGCTAGTCTCTGAGAGAAAGACAAGGAGAGAGAGAGAGAGAGAGAGAGAGAGAGAGAGAGAGTGATTTAGGGTGGTAGAGCCAGAGAACTGTAGAGCTTAAAATGGCTCCTGTGGATGAGAACCTGGATGAGAGAAGAAAGAAAAGTATTCACTACTCATTCACTACAGATATCTTGGACCTGAGAACTAGGGGTGAGGGGTTCTTTCTAGTCTTAGCTCTGCCACTTACTAGGTATGTGACCCTGGGCAACTCCGTTAGTGTGGAGGTGGTTTGTCATTCCTGTATTTATCACATGGAGACATCTAGTGAAATGGCCTCTGAAGATGGGGCTGATGATTCTCTAGCTTCAAAGCTCCATTTTATAGTCAGGAAGTGAGGCCTAGGATCACATAGCGATTTAGGGGCAGAGCAGGGCTGGAACTGCCTCCCGAAATCTGGTGCTTCTCTGTCATCAGACACCTCTATTCCTTACATGGATGATCCCCAGTGCTTTTGACAGGTGTAGTGAGAGAAGGATCCTTGATCAGTAAAGCTGGGGGAAAGCCACCCCCAAGAAGGCAGCCTGCATGGCATCATTTCCAGATGCCCAGGAAGGACCCTTTTGCCCCTTTCGTGGGTGTCCCCCAAAGAATTAAGGAAGCATCAGATTCTACCATGTGGGTGATTAAAGACAACTTGGTCATCTGTATCATTCGAGCTTTTCACAATTGAGTAGATATTTGCCTATTACTTAATAATTACTTAACTGTTGAGTACAGATTACTTAATAATTGAGTACAGATTCTTAAAAAGTTCTACTATTAAATTAATTTATTTTGGCTTAAGTAGTATCTGATTGGTAAAACACAAATATCCGAGTGGTGGACCACGCATGCAAGAATCCTCATGGATAGCAGCTCATGTTTGTTGAGAGCACACCACATGCCAGGAGAGTTGTGTATATCATTTCATTTCACACTTAGGATAATATATGAGGTATGTGCAGCTGTTAGCAGCATCTTACAGATGTGCATCCTGAAGGCTGGAGGGCTAGGTCATCTGTCTGCTCATACAGGGAAGGTATGGAGCCAGTATGCAAACTCATGTCAAATTGACTGCATGGTCCATGTCCCTAACCCCTACACCAGATTGCCTCTCCAAAGATACTTTACCTGGCAGCAGAATGTCTCTCATGCCTTTTCTGAAATCAGGCTTTGACAGTGGAAAGGAGACAAGAGTAAGAGCATCAGAATGCCTGGATTCAAGTCCCAGCTTCACCACTAACAGCATTACTTCAAGGAAGTTAACTTGTATAGACTATAATTCCTCATCCATCAAGTAAGAATTATAGAATCTTGCTCAAAGAGCCGTGGTGAAGATTAGAGAATACATCTGCAATGCTCAATGCAAAGCCTCCTATATAATAAGCTCTCAATAAACATATTATCACTATGGTTGAAGAGGCCAAAGACCACCCTGGACCCCTTCGCAGCATTGCTGCTGGTCAGCCCAGAGGAAGGGGTTACACTCCCCAGCATCAGTTTCTTCTGCTGCAAGCTGAGCATTCCCTGACTTAAGACAGAAAGGCAGCTTCCAAGAAAAGCACATTTGATCTCAAATTAAACTATGACGTAAAAGATCAGCTGCCGTTCATATGGAGCACAGTCAGGACAGTTGTACTAGTTAGGGGATGATATCAGCCCAATTAAAGTCATGTCAGAAATTCTCCACCAAACCTCAGTACCCTCCAGGAGTGCTGGGCAGTGCTGACTACCACCAAATTCCTTAAGTGTTCTTACTGGTTTAGCAAAACTTCTTTTTTCCCAGTTCCCTGTGTTGGCAACAGCGATCTTGATGTACTACCTGAGTTAGGGCTTTGCTCAGCTGTATATGACATGAGTTAAAATTGTTTTCAAGATGAGTATCTTAAAAGTCACAGGGAATGACCTCAGAATTTTTTATTTATCCAAAACCAATTCCAAAAGGTATAGACTTTCTATAACTATCTCTGACTATGTGTTGCCATAAACTTCCTGCCACAAGACACCAATCCACTCCCTGCTCTGAAAACGCAACACGCTTTCCCACAACTCTGCCTCTGCTCCTCCTGCTCTCACTGCATCAGAACGAATCACTTGAAACTCTCCATCAGACACCACGTTACTTCCTCGTTTTCAGATCTTTTGTATAAGATGTTAGCTATGTCTTTGTCTCCCTACCACACTAAAGGTCACTTGAGGACAAGGGCCATCTCACGTCATCATTATGTCCCCTAGCCTATTAGAAAAGGGAAAGAGAGGCACTGAGTTGGTCTGTAAGGTGTTAGGTCGAAAATCTTCATAACCACAAAAGGCAGCCTTTCCACCCTCATGATGAACATGAGGCCACTCGGCTTACCTACTCTTTAATATATTGCAATACTTCATGATACATTGCAGGTAAGCAAGATATTGACATCTACTGTGGTGGAGAAGGGCAAGTTTAACAATTTTGAAAATTGTTTTTTATCCTTTATCATTTTAAATGCATTGCTACTTTGATGCAGTGCTTAATGATATTTATTGCTTCCACCACACAAGCACAAAATGCTGGCTCACTCTCAAATTCAATATGGACCTTGTGGAAAGTAGCTAAATGCTGTGAGATTTCGTTTTCCAATTACTTTAGTAAATTCCTCTTGTGGGGATTGTAATTGCAGGTGGTGATCAGAGAACGCAGAGACCTCAGAAGAATTTTATGGCATTCCAGGCAGGACATGGACCAGCCTGGGAAAAAGCAGAAATAAGAGCTGGCAATACAGAGAATGCTACTAGGAAGTTATTTCTGAAGAGAAACAATGGTAAGACCTTCCAGCACCTGAGTTGGTTCTGATACAGTAGGGCAGAATTCTTAGAGGGACCCCTTTTTTATTTAAAACTAGTAATTGTATTGGTACCTGTTCAGAAATTGTTCAACAGCAGCATTCTGGTTATTCTACGATTATTCTACAGCTGTTCTGACAACTCCTCTTGTGCATTCTCTTTTCCTCCTCTCTTGAATTCTCCTTCCATTCTCTGAATCTTCTTCTATCTGGCCTTTCTAAATTAATTTATTTTTGTAGCTAGAGCTTCCACTTTATTGCAATGGTTACTTTCATGTCTCTTATTGTTTTCTTTAATAACTTTTAATGACCTAAGAAATAATTGGCTGGATTCCATTTTCCACTTCCTCCAAGTCAAATGATAGCACATCCTATACCCTGTGTTTACAAATATCAGAGAAGGCAGCACTAATTCTTTCTGCCTTACCTTCACTAAGTCATGCCTGGATTTTTGACAGGATGAAATTGAATGAGAAAGTGGTTTTCTACATGGCTAAGGAATAACAAGCAAGCCCAAGGGTCATGAGAGCTAGAAACCTGCAGAAGTCATCTGTCCATCCTGTCATTGATTTACTCTTCATGGTTTTGGGTGCCTCCCATCAGACAAGCATGGAACTAGGGACTTCAGGGTAGATATCCAGGAATAAGACAAAAACACTGCCTCTAGGAGCTTTCGTTCTGCAAGGGGAATAAGACAGGTGCTCAAATCAATGTGATACAGGTTGCAGGAGATAGGTCCCCAACAGAGGCTACAAGGAACTATGGAAGGTCAAATGAGAGAAAGAGTACATCCCCTCAGAAAAAACCTGGTGGAGACCCTAGTCAGTCTGGGGAATGTTGAGTTTGAAATCAGTGGGTCAGCAGCAATAGCACTGCTAGGAATTTACCCAAGGGATACAGAAATGCTGAGGCATAGGAGCACATGTACCCCAATGTTCACAGCAGCACTCTCCACAATAGCTAAAACATGGAAAGAGCCTAAGTGTCCATCAACAGATGAATGGATCAAGAAGATGTGGTTTATCTATACCATGGAATACTACATGGCAATGAGAAAGAATGAAATCTGGCCATGTGTAGCAACATGGATGGACCTTGAGGGTGTTATGCTGAGCGAAATAAGTCAGGCAGAGAAGGACAAATA